TCTTCAAGCCTCCTTTGCAGACATCTCCAAATTCACCACCTCCAATCACTTCCGTAATGAATACTGCTGCAGGATCGATGTCAAAAGTAAACTCCACGAGTGCCTAAGAAGCCAGATTCTCTTCAAAAAAATTTCCTTCTATTCTGTCAAAGATGAGAGGTTGAGTTCTGATTCTAGTATAGAACATTTTTTCAAGGTCGATACACACAATGATTACCTGATTGGGATCCTCGTACGCAGTTGGATCGACATATGGTTTAAAAGCCATTGCTACCATTCCTGTCACTCCACTTCCATAGTAAGGAGGAGGCTGAGAGAGAGAACTTCTTCCATAAGACGGTATCAGCGGGGCATTCACTGTAAAATGTAGTGTATTTTTGGTGAAAAAAAAAGATTTGCCACCGAGGGAGGGTGATGCACAATTCTGCCACACAAAATGCCATTCCCAGCAAAGGTATGATAGTTGAACATGAGAATTGAGACCACAGAAAGCTTTCACTGGCAACTTACGTTTCCCACATCGAAATGCATCCGTGAACTGACGAGTTCCAGAACTGTAGTCAGGTGTCATCGTATCTGCAAAAAATAGTAGCACAGGTCAACACGGTACGAAAGCCGAAACAGCGCAAGCATGAGAACACGAGAACTCTTCATGCCGCCTGGTACACCATATAAGCAAAACACACATTAAGCGTAATGGTCAAGCCTATTGAGTGTTTAATCACAAGGTAAAAAGTTTATATATGAATTCTAACCTTGCTTGTACGTATCCAACACGTCTAAATCGCTCATCTGCTTTCGATTATGTGTTTTACGACGACATAATATGAAAAGGATTCCGAGAACAACAACGAAGAGCACCATTGCCATCAAAACCAGCCAGCCGGGAAGAGATCCCAAAGGAGTTGTTTCTGGTCCCCTGTGTTGTTGTACCTGAAACGCAAACAACAGGTTGAAAAAGATACGACATTTCTAAAGAGAACACTCACAATCCCACGCCCTAGCTCATACCAAAGCGGATTGCTCCATTCACCCCATCCATCCACATAAACTCGTACCTGAATTAAGGCAAGACTAGAAACTATGAATTTCCTTGCTTGCTTACTTACTCTAAAGCGATACGGTACTCCTGGGCTCATATTGAGTGAAGTGTGATAGGTGTGCTCGGTTACTACACCAATCGCTTTCCCGGTTTTAGGTTGCATTTCGATCTAAAACATATAAAAATATGAATATAAACATATATA